AAATCTACCAAACAACAACACCACCATCAATTAGCATCAATACAATCCATAATCTCAACAACAAGTCCAACAAGTATAAGTCAAAGTCAAAACTATCAAGTTTCCTCAAACCATTCAATTAATAAGCCCAAACCGAACCATAATAACATTTCTTAAGCGTTCAATTTACTTAAGACACAAAACCTTTCCATTAATCAAGCATGGCTGAATCCTTCATGTTTCCCTACAAGCAATTCAATCATCAAAACCAAGAAACAACAATACTCATCAACCAATACACAAATACTATATCATTAAGCCTAGCCAAATTCATTTAACAAGTCAAATTAATCATTCCCATTTAAGTGACCTTAAGCAAAACACCACGTAATCAAATCCTCCATCATCATTCAATTATCTAGACCAATTCAAGTATCCACAAGCAAACTACAACCAATCATTCCACAAGTTAAGGTCGAATTATATCAAGCAATAATATCATCACCAAATCAATAAGCTAAATCCATTCAAAATCACTCAACATAATTAAACCAATCTCAATTCACATATACCAATCACAATAGCCATGAATATTCATCAATTAAATTTAATCAAACAATTAGTCACTTAGCTTAAAATTAAGAATTTTCAAGTCTTACATGAACACCACATTACCCATGCTATATCCATAATTAAACACATACTTATCATTAATACAATGGCCAATCAGCAATTAATTGTTTACCCAATCACATCTTAATGTAAAATCTCTATTTAATAACTAAACAGATCCTAGAATATCTAAGTTTACATGAACAAATCATTTAACACATTCAATCATTAATTAAATGTATGTCATAGCATCATAACAACTAATCTTTCATCAATTTTATAATACAAGCATCAATTACACACAATTCAATCAAATACACAATTAGAAAGCCTAGGTTTCACAAGAGCACTAATCACCAAATCAACACATAATTAACCTAAATCTTGTTGTGAGTTGAAGTTATACTTATTTTAGGTTTGATTGAAGATGAAATCACCTTAAACCCTCCAAAAATCACACATCTCTTTCTTACCCAAAGTTTCGACCAAAATAGCAAAACCTCTTCCTCTCCGTAATTTCCTCTTCCTTTCCGTCAAGCTTGATTCCCTTGGTAAATTTTGGTTCTCTCTTTGCTTTCTCTTTTGTAATTTGGTCTCTCTTGCTCTCTTTCTTTCTTAGTGTTCAAGCTCTTCAAAAATGGATGGAGACCAGTGAAATATCAAATGAAAACCTTGCTGAAATTTTCCTTCCTTTTATTTTCCTCTCTTGGCCGTAATTTTTTGTCCAAAATATCCTTAATGAGCAACATGTCCTATGTATTTTGCACTTAGACATCTTAATTTAGGTAGAGTACTTAATTAGGATATTATTTTCTAAATTACTACATGTTTAGGTCACTAATTAAATTTTAATCTTAAATTATACATGAATAAAAATCATTTAATTAAACTATATTTTTTAAGTTTTTAATTTGTCAATTAATTCATTTTTTACACATAACACATAGTAAACAAAAAACTTATAATTAACAACACAAGCATGACATGAACATACTTAACAAAATAAATATGCTCACAAAGTAATAAAAATTAAATCGAATACTACAAAAACTTATGAAAAACATAAAGTATCAATTAAATATAAGATTTTGAATTAAAAAATTATTAAATGTATTTTTTTTACTTTTTATTTGATATATTATTATCAAATTAAAATAATTTGATTTTATTCCATCCATAAAATAACATAGGTAACAAACTAGTAACTAGGGGTGAGCAAACGGTTCGGTTAATCAAAAATCGAATAAAATCGAACCGAATTATAAAATTTGGTTTAGTTTTAAATATAAAATTATACAATATAAAACCGAATCGAAAAAACCAAAATTATTTCGGTTCGGTTCGGTTTTTAGAAAAAAATTTCGGTTTCGACGTGAAAATCGAAATAAATAGTAAAAAATTTTCTAATTTCTAAATCCCTAATTTTTCAATCTTCATTCTTGTTGAAACCGAAACACGCAGATGGAAAGTAAATTTTGAGGACCGTTGGGGTAAGAAAAGAAAGTGACATAGTGTAATTAATTGGGATACAGCGTGTTTGAATGAGCAAATTTATTATACTTGGACTCGTTTTCATTAAAGCTTAATTAAAATCTTCAAGGGCTTTGTGATTGTTTATAAAAAGGATTAATTGATAACAAGATGTTACTTCATTGGCTAGTGGACTAAGTGCTAGTACAAAATATCTCTCTCGTAATGATTTTTTTTTTTTACAACAAAATATTTTGGTTAAAACCGAAATATTTCGAAACCAAACCGAAATAATTCGGTTACAAACCGAATTTACCGAATTTATTTCGGTTCGGTTTTGGTTTTTATTTTTTTAATTCGGTTAACCAAAAATCGAACCGAATCGTACAAAATCGAACCGTTTAACCGAATGTCCATCCCTACTAGTAACCTTAGACACTGGGAAGAAGGTGTAGTGACATGGAATAGGATAAGAACAAGATTTTTTTTAAATAAAAAAAAAAAAAAGCAAAAAGAAACAAAGTTGTATCTCAAGAATCATATGATGCAGCAGTCCTCTTCGTCATCAATCTAAAAAGACCGAGTCATTCACTCATCAATTCTGTAAGACTCCACACAGACAGGTAAAAAGCATAGCACGTGAGGTTGTATCTCATAATTTATCAGCCAGGTTTCACAAATTATGAAAACCCAAAAACAAAATAAATCCGCAGCGTGATAAATTGGTTTTTAATAATCAGCTAACACCCTCTTTTTTTTTCCCCCTTAATGCAAAAAAAAAAAAAAAAAAAAAAAAAAAAAAAAAAAAACGGAAAAGGAGAAAGACTGTTATCCCATGTTCTCTGAGGAGAAATATGTTTGCTAATCGTATTGTTATCTTGAATCAGAGAAAAAAAATAAAGAAAAAGAAAAAGATTGTGTCATAAATATATTAATTGATATGATTAAATAGATATTTTGGAATGGATAATGATATTAAAAAAATAAAGAAAGAAAGAAAGAAAGAAACCTTTGAGAAAAAAGGGGAACGTTAAACGGTTGGAGAAAGGCCAGCTGGTAACAGTTGGATGGTGAGTGTGAGAGATGGAGAGATTTTCAGTTTCAAGAAATAATTCGAGAAAAACACACGTGTCCACCATTACTTGGCGCACATGTGGACGCTGCATTTACTGCATCCAACACCTGCTCCTCTCCCTCTCCGCTGTCAGATCTCGTCTCCTTCTCTATTTTTGCCTCCTTTTACTTTTGGTAAGCCTCAACTGCTTTTGGAAAATGACGGCCCCTCCTTTTGACCTTTTTGCCCTTTCCTTTCTCTACTCTTTACCTTTACAGCATCTTACCTTATCCTCACTTAAAGTGCCATTTATGCCCTCGTCATGTCTCGCTGCAAATTAGGCACCATTTTCTCTTCTAGATTGAAGTTTGAACATAACTTCTGCTAATTTGGCTGCTCTTGCAAGAATTGAGGCACTTTCTCGAATGTTCTAATCTAAATTATTTGGAATCATAAAAAACAGCTTTAATTATTGGTAAAAATCTGTCGAACTTAGATGATGCATGTATATTCTAATCATGACTGAATAAGTGTAATAAATCAAGTAAATTAAATCATTGGTGACTTTCGTTCGAGTAGTTTAGAATTCCACGTACGTTTGTAATTACAATTTTTGCACACCAATCCAGTTAATATTGCCTTGCCATTTTACTATTTACAATAGCAATACTTGATCAATATATATAGTGAAGAATTTTCGAATTAATTTTCATATTAATCAAAATTAAGTTTATTATTTATTAAACTAAGTCTATAAGTCAATGTCAAAACACGCTTAATTTTTTATTCGTTATTGAAATTCTTTTACACCAAATGAGTTCAAATCTAGTATCATTAAAAAATAATTATGACTAGTTATTCGTAAATACCGATAATTTAATCTTAATTTTGGTCAAATAATAAAAAAAAACTCTGCCATCACCATATCACATCTTTTGATAGAACTTAATCAACTTTATTATAAGAATTTTTACTATTAAATTATGAATATTGTTACTATGCAATCTACATTTTAGATAAAATCATTAAGATTATGTTGCTTGATTGACAAACAAATAACACAGGTTCTATTTGAATAATTTAGATTGCAAATTAATACAAGATAATAAAGATATTGTCTTCTCCTTGAATTATTTATTCAATAAATAAGAATTTTTTATTCTTATCATTTCCGGTTTAAAAATAAATATACTATTAATTTTTTTTATATATAAAGAGTAATGCTAATCTTATATAATTGTTTTATATAATTCACTTATTGAAAAAACTATCAACTGATATATTAAATAAGTGGATTTTTTTAATAATTCTATAAATCTAATAGTTAATATTTTTGAGTAAGTGAATTTTATGAGACATTAATATTTTATAAATACCCAATTTAGATATGCTATGAATAACTTGTCTAAAAGCAAAGAAAAACTAATTCTGGACATGATAAAATCCAAATAAGTCTTCATATGCAAACTCTAATCTGAAGATAGTTTTATGTAAAAATTAAAATGAACCATGAAAAAAAAGGGTAAAACTGGAATAAAATAGCGAAGGTGGAATAAGACAAACAGGAGGCAACTAGCAACAGATCAATCCTCATTGATAACCGATCAAACTCTACTCATTAATCAATTTCACGTTATCAATATTCAATAAATAAAACAAAATTTTCAGTAATAATTTGAAAATCCCGAAAATATAAATGAAAACCAGAATCCGCCAAACCCCAAAACCAGCAGAGAAACACAGAGCATGGACGTAGCTGGATTTCTAGCAAGACGACGCAAAAACCTCCACCCTTTCCATATTACCTAAACTATCCTTCTCCCTCCGTCCTTTTTTCTCCATAAACCCACCATTCTTCCCCTCTAGTTTCTTGTTTTCGGCAACAATGGAGATAACGAATGTGAAATCTGTTGATCAAGCGGTAGAGGAAATTATGAGAATTCATAGATCTTTACCGACAAGACCAGGGATCGAAGAAGTGGAAGCAGCAAAGACATTGATTCGGAATGTCGAAAAGGAAGAGCAAGCGAAACTGGAAGGGATTTCGAAGCAGACAAAGAGCCCAGATGTTCCTCAAGAGTTGTTCATGATCTTGCAAGAAATGCAAAAACAGTTGTGTTTTTTTCAAAACAAAGAACAAAAGAGAGAAGCGTTAAAAATGCTTGATCTTGAAAATGTTCATAACCTCTTCGATGAATTTATTCAAAGAGCTTCCAAATGTCTTTCTTCGCCTTCTTCTTCTTCTACTTCTGTTTCTGGGTTTGACTCTTCTTCGAATTATGCGAATGGGGGCAGTAATTCTTTCAAAGGGAGTGCTGTCGCTGCGGCTGGTTCTTCTTCGATTGATAGATCATCTATGGCTACAACTTCTGGATTGTATTATGCAGAGAGAGAGCAGACAAGGAGTGCTGAATTGTTTACCAGAGACGATAGTTATGTGAATAAGGCGAAATCTTCGTTTTATTCTGATGGAATTGGTGCTTCTTCTACGCCGCAGATTGTGGATTCTACTTTAAAAGCTAGTTCGATCAGTTCAAGTAAGCTTTAATATCTTGTTTTTGGTGTTAAATTTTTAATGGGTTTTGCTTATTGTAATCTCAAAGTGTCATTTTGATAATAATATGTGGTAACTTGTAATTGTAAATAGGTAGTTATACTTTGAATAGCTAAATGGGGTTATAGGAATTTGATGAATTATGGGCAATTTTTAAGTTGTTTTGATAATTACGAGGTGTATAATGTTTGCGATGTTAAGGCTGATTTTCTATTGTGAATTGTGTAGGTCAAGATGGTGAGAAGTTGAGTCTAATTAAGCTTGCGAGTTTAATTGAAGTGTCTGCAAAAAAAGGAACACGGGAGCTTAATCTCCGATGCAGGTTGATGGATCAAGTTGATTGGCTACCGGATTCAATAGGCAAGCTATCGAGTTTGGTTACCCTAGACTTGTCTGAGAATAGGATTGTGGCGTTGCCAGATACTATTGGAGGTCTGTCATCCTTGACGAAGTTGGATTTGCATGCCAACAGAATTGGTGAACTCCCAGGATCTATTGGGGATCTTCTTAGTTTGGTTGTCCTGGATGTGAGGGGTAACCAGTTATTGTCTCTGCCTGCTACATTTGGCAGGTTGGTACGGCTTCAGGAGCTTGATCTGAGCTCAAATCGGCTCTCTTCGCTCCCTGATACGATAGGTTCACTTGTTAGTCTGAAAAAATTAAATGTGGAGACCAATGATATTGAAGAAATCCCACATACTATTGGCAAATGTTCATCACTAAAGGAGCTTCGTGCAGAGTATAACAGGCTCAAGGCACTCCCAGAAGCTGTTGGAAAGATAGAGACTTTGGAGGTTCTATCTGTTCGGTACAATAACATCAAACAGTTGCCTACAACAATGTCATCTCTATCAAGCTTGAAGGAGCTTGATGTAAGTTTCAACGAGCTTGAGTCAGTGCCTGAGAGCTTGTGTTTTGCTACCTCACTCGTCAAGATGAATATAGGAAACAATTTTGCTGATATGCAATCCCTACCAAGGTCGATCGGGAACCTTGAGAATCTTGAAGAGCTGGACATTAGCAATAACCAGATACGTATCCTTCCAGACTCTTTTAGGATGCTAACACACCTACGTATCTTACGTGTAGAAGAAAATCCTTTGGAAGTACCACCGAGACATATAGCTGAAAAGGGTGCTCAGGTAATATATGTTCTCTTGCATGTGGTGGTTACATAGGATCTGATCTCTATTCTAAGGCCTAATTTGTTTGCTTTTCTTTTCTGTGTTTTCTCAGGCTGTTGTTCAATACATGGCTCAACTTGTTGAAAAGAGGGACGTCAAAGCACAACCTGTAAAGCAGAAAAAGAGTTGGGCTCAAATTTGCTTCTTTTCAAAGTCTAACAAAAGGAAGCGCAATAGCGTAGACTATGTGAAAGCCTGAATCACAACAATTGTAACACGGAACACAACACAACCTGTATGTTGGGTAAGTTTCTGAATCATGTTCAGCATCTTGTTGAAAGAGGGGTTTTGGCATGTAATAAAAATGAGGAGTCACTTCTAAGGCTGATTAAATTCACACTGCCAATTTTGTTATTTCATCATGCATTGATATTGGCAGTTATAAAGCTGCAGATTTTAATTATGTGTCACACTCACACTATGACTGATTCAAACTTTACTTCATCTTGCAGAGGACTTAGCAGTTTGTAAAGCAGAACTGTTACATATCAAACAGGGGACTCAGTTCAAATAACATGGTTCTCGCTCTTGATCCTCAAATTGCAGATTTTCATTATTATTTTGTTTCTATAATTGTCTTTTTTTTCATTTTATTCCATTTTTAGCTGTTGTCCTTGAACCGTAATGAGGTGCATAATTCAGCCGGCAGATAGGAGGGCGAGGAAAATACTATGCTCTGTATTCTTAATTGTGTGAAGAACTTTGACCTTACCTCTACCACATGTAGTAGAATCTGTTTCTATATTTTAGATTCATTAGAATTTAAAATTTCTTGTCTAATGCAATTTTTTTTTTTTGGCATTTCTAGTAAACATTAACATCTGCCCTTCTAGTAAAACATTAAATAAACTAACATTTTCTAGCTATATGGCCATGTTTTCATGTGCCTGGTGATTGGTTACGGAGAGTATAGATACACCAATTGGTACTGTTCAGTTTCTAGAGTGCATATCATGCATGCTATAAGTTATTTAGTGTTCTCCCGTTCTCTTGATTTTGTTTTACTTAAAAAGGTGGTTGACCTAGCCCCACTTGCTTGTGTTCCTTCAACAGCAGTGTACTTTGATATAATTTGTTTATTCGTATTTGCTGCACTCTTTTACCGGAGATCTTGGACTGATTAAACTGTTAAAATGTTCAAAAAAGAAAGAAAGAAAAAGGGAAACTGTAAACAAGTTGGGAGATGAGCATTTTTTATTTTTAGCATGCATACAATGGTAACATATTAATATGTCAATTTCACAGAAATGATTGGAATTTATTTTAGCCATTGGTTAATAATTTGTGATATAATCGTTGTATTTGGATTCAGTCTATTAACCAATAGACGGTGAAAATATTGGTAGAGAAAACAATGAAAGGCAGTTCATTACCTCTGGCTATGCCAGAATGAGAGCAAACAGCACCCATCTTCAGCTACTTGCCCGTTAATACCAGGAGCCAATGCGGTCTATCTTTACCCCATTTGTCTGCTTTACAGCTCACCAAACGGGTTGGAAGTGTATTCTCCAAGGGACTACATCCAAAAGCAACTTTTTATGACCTGTGATTTGTAAGTGAGACAACTATCTATCCCTACTTGGGAAGGGAAACATTAGTGGCCTGGTAGGTGGGAGGCGTCACAAGATTTTGTGGCAAATAAGTCGATAATTTCATGGGTTTATTACAACTTCACATGATCAGTCTGGATTGATGTAAAATTTGATGTCTCCAGTATGACTTCAGCTATCGCTAATTATCATTTCTGCACTCAGCTTGACATTACTATTAACTGCTCTATTTTACCTTGTGTATAGCATACATCATTATATAATCGTAGACATAAAATGGTGGGTTCTACACACCTAGTACCGATTGAATCATGGTATAATGAGGTGACCTCTCTTTAAATCACAAGCTTTTTCTTTTTTAGGGAGAAAAAGGAAATCAGCAGTTCTAGGCATTAGTGTGATTGGATTCTTTGTTCGGTAAATGTCATTTTAATCATTGCTATTATATACCTGAACAGTTGTGCTGCGTTGGATCAAGATAATTAAATAATAGCAACACACTGTTGGTGTCAATAATCAATGGTTACAGCATTGTAATGACATAAAAAGTGGAATTTGTTAGCACTGATTAGGTAACGAAACACTATTTGACTTGGACTTTTCAAAGGTTTTAAACAACGTCAGCTTGTCTCGGTAGCCTTTCCAAGGAGGTTTATGATTTTTTTAGTTTTGGGAATTCGAAAGCCAGGCATAAATAAGCTGGAAACGATGACCGAAGGATCTGCATTTTCTGTCTTATTTTTTAAAACAAAAAACGTTCCAGGGCTGTAAAGAAAAGAGTGTGGCTCCGAGCTCAAACCCCCGCCCTTTCTACCTTTTATTTTATTTATTATTATAAAAAAAATAGTAACAATAATAGAATTGAAGAGAAAGATAAAAAAATAAATTCACTATAAGATAAAATGAATACAAGAGATAACAATTTCAAATAATCTGTCAATTTCTACAAAATACTTGTACATAAACTAACATACAATCAAACCTATTTATAGGTTTCAAGATTAGGAAGAGAATTAGAAGGAACTTCGAACCATTAAGAGATGCATAAATAATTAAATAAATAACATCACTATTTCAATTTCTCATATTGAATGGTAAATTAAATTAAATAAGTAGTGAAAATATGAAATATAGACATTCATTATTTCATAACAATCCCTCTTTTAATGTCCATCATATAAGGAACATACTTCGTTAAAACCTTACTAGAAAAAAACTCAGCAAGAAAAAATCCTAGTGAAGAAAAACGAGTAGAATATTTCTTATAGACATTAATTCAATGTTAGGCTCCTTTTGTTAAAACCATCATTTAAGATCTTTAAGATGATACATAATCTTATGAACCATTTTCTCAAAAGTTGTGATAGGTAATGGCTTAGCAAATAAGTCTACTCGGATTGTCACTTCGATGTATTCTTCCTTTAATGGAATTATGCAAGCAATATTATCTTCATATAATATTGTTGGAGCTTTTTATCGGTAGATAAACTGTATGTCTCTCGCATATGATGGATCATTGATCTTAGTCAAGTACATTCTCGACTTGCCTCATAAATTGGTATTTCTACATCGTAATTTGAATATTTAGCAGCCTATAGTTTGCTTCATAAAATGTTATGATATAACTATACCACCAAGTGTAAATACATAACTCATTTATAATTGAGTTTTGTATGGATAAGATAAATAGCATGCATCCGTATAACTAATTAAACTCGACTTTGATTTATTTGAGTAAAATTAATACCATAGTTGTTTTTTCTCAAAGATAACATAGGAAATGTTTAATTTCATTCTAATATCCATATTGGAGCAGAGCTATGACTTGTTAATAAATTTATAGAAAAAGGCTATATCGAGCAAAATATTATTAGTATGATATATCAATACACCAATTGCATTAAGATATGATACTTCGAGCATCAAATAATTTTTATTATCTTCTTAAAGTCGAAAAAAAGGTCTTTTTGGATATCAAATGAATGAACTACTATTAGGCTAGTTAATGGATGACCTTTATATAGAAAAAGTATATAAAATAATTGTAGAACTTTTTCTATATAGATTGACTCGATAAATAAAAATATCATTCTCTATGTGCTTGAACTGCAAGTCGAGATAAAATTTTATTTTCTCAAGGTATTTCATATCAAATTCTCTTTTTAGATAACTTATGACACTTTGAATCTCTTTAAGAGTTCCAATAATATTTAAATCATCAATATATATAATAATTATCACAAGCCCTTTTTCAAATTTCTTTATAAAAATCCATGAATAAATATGGTTATTTTTACAACTTCTTTTTAATAAATATTTATTGAAGCAATTATACTATGTGCACATAGGTTAGTAATAAAAAGTATATATTGAAAAATAAAAATAAATATATAAAGTATAGCATAAATAAAATTTCTAAAAACTAAAATAATAAAACTAATACTAAAATAATCTCGATAGAGATCTCTATAATTTAATTGAATTTATTTCTCCGAATATATATTACATGCTTCGGGCATCTTAAGTCCTTCTAGAACTTTCATATAAATATCATTTTCAATTGAACAAATAAGTTATAATCGGATTCATTAAATGCATGCATATGAATTTTTTTCATATATTTTGCCAAGCTAATGAGATAACAAAATCTAATTGCATCCATTATAGGAAAATATATCTCCTTATAGTCATTGTCAAGTCTATGCAAAAATCCTTATTTTATAAGTCTTGATTTATATCTCATAGTCTCATCTTTCTTATTTTGTTTTCACAAAAATAATCGGTTATATCCCACTAGCTTAATATCTTTAGGTGTTTTGATTATGAGTTTAAACACTACTCATTTATAAGAATATAATTCGATTCGAATTGTCTTTTCATTTAAGCCAATCATCTACTATGTCGACATTCTTCAATAAATTTAAGCTTGGGATCTTTATTTTCATTCAAAATATCAATCACAATATTATATACAAAAATATTATCAATAAATGTTTCTTTTCGATCTTATTTTCTTCATGTATTGACATAATTTATCAAAATTTATTGATTTTTCTCAAGTATTTGGATTTCTTATAGAAACTTATTATCGAAATATCTTGGATCGTTTTATAAATATTTGCATCCTTTATATTTTCATCTTGATTATTTGCCCTTTTCTTTTGGGGATTTTTATTTTTAGAATCGATTGGTCTTCAATACTTAAGGTGTATTTTAAATTCATTTGCTATAACATTAATATATTGTCCTTTTAGAATACCAATTCTAGTAAAAGCATTATCGGTGAGGACATGTATTTTAGTTACTCATTTAGGATCCGAAAATGCATCTAGTAGTTGGTTTACAATACCTTATAAATGAATTATCTTTTTAATTACTATTTCACATTGTTTTGTACCAAGATGATATAGTGATAAAATACTCTATATAATCTTTATTTTTAACATTTTCAATTGCTTATTTTGCTTATTCTTTCCTTCTAATATTGAAAAAATTATTTCATCAAAATGATAGTCGATAAATTAAGCTTGTAAAAATATCTTTTATTCATGATATTTAATTATAAAAAAGGATTCAAATCCAACACATATTCCCAATCTCCTTTAAGTGCCTATTTTAGTTCGTTATGGAGGAGCATTATGGATGTTAA